AAGTACATTAAGTGAAGTATATAATTACTGTGGCACTGACAAACACATGGGCCTCAGAAAAACCTTTCTACCTCCAAGGCACTTTTGTGGGTCAAATGTCCAGTCAAAATCCTGGTTATGACCACTTACTGATTTGGTTACTTTGATGAGCCCGAATGTACTTTAATTCAAAGCAAAAGAATTTAATCCAATGGTACAGCAAATAGAGACTTGGGATCTTTGCTATACATGACATACTTATTATATACTATGCTATAGTTTACTACCCCCAACAGATATAGGGAGAGATTGTAAACTCAGAGTAAACACGTAGTAATTGACACACTCGGAAAACATATGTGACCAGGGAACATGAATTCAATAATTCAATTCAATAAGCATTTATTCAGCACCTATTCTGTGTTAGGCAGTGACACATATATAGGATATACATATGTCAAGGAACTTGAATGAAAGGCTACATTCCAGGAACCAATTTGTTCAGAAAATACATGCAGAGGACAGGTGTGACCAAGGAATAAATATGTATGAGACAAACTTTAGTTCTTCTGAAATGCAGATGCTGATATTCTCTGATCTGAATGGGTCTTTCTACTGCTCTCTTCTGGGTATATTATCTATGCTGTACATTTCTCTGCTGGCTATGTGTTACTTTATTTTGTTAATGAAGAAAGATCAATCTGGAAGAAACCCTTTAGTGTCAGGCTCTAGGATGTTTCTTCACTTTCACCTATTCGATATTTTTATCAATAACATGGAAGAAAAACAATTTCTTTGCTGCCAGATTCTGCTCATTGGCTTTGGGGAAATCTTGGATCCCAGATACCAAGGTTCATTTACTAGAAAGCATCTTTTTGACAAGGGAAGGCTGAGAGCATAGAGTGACTAAAACAGAGGGCAAGTAGACAAAAGTCAGATAAATCCTTTTAAAGTAAGATTTTGACTGCCTATATGACTTTGGGTTAGGAAATTACTTGTAGGGGCAGCTAAGTGACTCAGTGGATACAGCACAATCCCTGAAGTCAGGAGGACCTGAGTTTGAATGTGGCCTCAGACCAAACACTTGACACTTACTATTTGTGTGACCTTGGGCAAGTCACTTAACCCCAAAAGCTTAAAAAAAAAAAAAGAAAAAAGAAAGAAAATTCCTTGTAAATCCAGTTTAAACCCCATTGAGGATCCTGTGCCCTTAAAAAGGCTTATTTCTGAAATTTTGCAAAATAAAATAAAACAAAACCTACAGAAGCAGTGTGTAGGCTTGGTCTCTGAAGTTCTGTTCACTATCAAGGCCCTCTTTGATCGGCATATAAATTAAATGAAGAAAGATCAAAAGCTAAGTTAAAAGAGCAAAATCATCACCCTTCCTCTCCAGACTCACTTCCTCGCCATTGTTATGTAAAACTGGGCGACAGTCTAGGGGGCAGCTAGGTAGAACAGTGGATAGAGTGCTGGCCCTGAAGTCAGGAGGACCTGAGTTCAAGTTCAGCCTCAGACCAAACACTTGACACTTAATAGCTGTGTGACCTTGGGCAAGTCACTTAACCTCAATTGACTAAAAAAACCAAACCAAAACAACAAACTTCCCCCCAAAAAAAACTGGGAACAACAATTCCTTAACTTTTATACTGTACTCTGAATAACTCAAACCATTTCTGTTTTTCTCTCTATATATGTAATACTTAGAACAAGGAAGTCATCATAATTTTCTTGTGGTCTTCCTTGATCAGATTATACCTACCATTATAGTCAACTCTGGGTATCAATGTTTAGCAGAGGGGCTCCCAGAGAAGTGGAACAGACTTACAGGATTCAAAATCATGTCGCGTGGATTTAAAAATGGAGATATTTAACTTGGTAATGTTCATAAAATAAAACTTATTGGATTCAAATACAATTTGTATTTATGCGCTTGTTACCTGTGACCTAATCTAATTTGTGTTGTGCCATATATGTACATAGGTAAATGCATACATGCATGTGTGTATCTTTCTATAGCTATTAAATTGAAACCTTTTTCCATCAAACTCATCTAATCTGTATTTGTTCATACATTTTGATTATTTTATTTAAATTCATATAAGTCAGTATTATACAATAGAAATGCCACCTACAAATCATTATACTCTCTAGAAACCCTTGGTTATAATGCACTTAGGGCCTTCTGAAGAGTGAACCCTGAGAATCTTTTATTCCCTTTGTCTATTAACATATTAGGCAGTGAGTTTACATTGCCTGTTACGTTTGAAGGCAGCAAAATTCTAATTTTGAATAATGGAAGCATTGGCCAGGAGGGGAAAAAAAAAAGGAATGGAAAACATGCCAGCAGCAAGTACTGATGGAATGAGGAGGTTTATCAAATAGAGGTAATGAATGAAGAGTGAAGGCTCAGTACAATGGGGACTCTGCTTTGGAAAATGGGTGGGGTAAGAGAATATTAGAGAATTACATCTGAGTTCTCTTCACCTCTAAACATCAATGCAGCAATGTGATATAATGGAAAGGCACCTGAGCCTAAAGTGAAAAAAAGACTGTTTCAAATTCTGGCTCTACTAGCCAGACAACCATAAGTCACTAATCACTCTAAAATTCATGTTCTTCATGTAAATGGAAGAAAAAGAATAATACTTATAGTACCTACCTCATTGGACCATTTTAGAAGTAAATGAAGTAATGAATATGTGTATGAGTATGTGTGTACATAAACACATACATACATACACACATTATACATATATATATGTAAATATAAAAATTTTACTGACCTTAAATAATATTTAAAAATAGCTATTATGATTTTATGTGAGATTGGCACCCCACTAATGTAGATAAGTCAGTACTCAGATTTATTTATGCATTTTGTTCAAAAGACGATTATGCATAAAGAGCAACTCCATACAACCCCCTGGACTGGAGCAGAAAGCATATCAAGGGCACTAGCAGTTGATACAGCTGAAAAATAGATTAAAGCTAGAGACCAATGAAATTTAAATACCATGTGAAATAGCTCAGACTTTATTCCATAAGCAATAAAGTACAATCAAAGGTTTTTGAAGATAAGATTAATGCAATCCAAGGCAAATTTTGGGAGGATTACCATGGCAATATTTTATACTGGGAGAAGGCTGGAGGTACAAAGCCCAATTAAGTTGGGTAATCTGTGTTCTGACAGTAAGAATGAAAAGAAAAGGGGCAAATCCAAGAGATACATCACAGCTAAAATCAGCACAACTGATTGGATATCAAAGGGAAGGAAGAGAGATGTGAATGACTTAAAAATAGTGACTGGGAAAATGTGAATACCTTTAACAGAGACAAGGAATATAGGAAAAGAAGCAGTTTGAGAAGTTTGGTATTGGAAATGTTATTTGAGAGACCAATGGAACATATAGACAAAAGTTTCCAGGAGGTATTTAGAAATGAAGGTCTGTAGTTCAGGAGAAGATTTGGGGCTGGTTATAGGGATTTGGGGTACAATAGCATATAAATAGCTTTTCTTCTTTTTCTTTTAAATATTGTGTTTTTTTTGTTGCTGTTCATTTCTAAATCAAATTAAAAGCAGTTAAGAAAAAATATAAAAAATTTATCCTTGGGAATTCCTCAATAATTATACTAAGGAAAGAAAAATAACTAGAGCAGAGAACAGTCATTTTTTAAAGATATAAAAGTGGAAGAGAATGATAAGGGAGGACTAAAAAGAAAGGAGGCAGTATTCTTTGGGGAATAGTTATATGTAGGGGCTAAAGGAGGATGAAGAGACAGCACAAAAAAAAAGACATAGAAGGAGCAGTCAGAAAGGACAAAAGAGAATCAGGTTAATAGAATGTTGGGAAAGCCAAAAGAGAACAGTTTCAAGAATAAGGGCACACTCAACAGTAAAATGGTAAAGAGAGGTAAAAGAGAATGAGAACTTTTGGGAAAGAGATAATTACAATTGAACATTACAATGCCATTAGAAACTTGTGACAGGGAAGTTTCGGTTGAGAAGAAACCAAATCACCAGGGTGTAAGTAGAAGGTGATGAAGTAGAAATAATAAGTAGATGCTTCTTTAATTGAAAGCAAGACATAGAAGATACAGAGATAAATTTCAATTTTGAATTTGAAATTTGAACCTTGAATTCAGAAAGACCTAGATTTAAGTTTTATCTTTGACACATACTTTCTGACACACTAGGTAAGTCACTTAACCTTTAAGCATAACAGGCTTTAAATTGCAGAGATGCTGACCTGCTTTAATAGATGACACTTCCTCATCTGGAAAAGCCTCTTATCAAAGGATGATTATTTATCTCAATCCTCGTTGCAAAAAGTTTGACAATGAAAGTATAGATATGGGAAAACCTAAGCACATTTGAAGATAAAGCAGGTGTCAAGGGAGATAAAAGACATTTCTTACTATGTAGCATATCCTTCTATTACATCTTGGGAGTGGAGGTGGGGAAGGAAGGTCTTGTAATAATTGGTCAGCAGTTTGGTGAAATTGCTTTTTCATAGTTTTAATATTTTCAAAGGTGGGACTACCTCACCTGTTGAATTTCAATAGATTGCAGTGTTTCTATCATCTTAGATTTAGCCTAAGCTTTAGCAATGTTATAAATAGCATTCACAAAAATCAACCTACACAAGCATATGTGTGTTTTCTCCTTTTTTATTACAAATGCTGTGTTTCATATTCTTTCCTCAATTAAATTAAAATAAGATATTTTTAAAAGGCTATAAACAACACAAATTTATAATAATTTCTTATTTATTGGTAAAATGGGTAGGAGTGTGTGTGTGTGTGTGTGTGTGTGTGTGTGTGTGTGTATGAAAATAGCAGGAAAGGATGAAGAGGAAGAAGGAAAGTGTAGTTTCTGCAAAAATTTTTACCCCCAAACAATGAGGAAATATTTCTGGGATATTGTATTTATAGTTGGTTGAGATTTTAGAAATTATCACATTGCAAATAACTTCTTAAAAGGACACAAAATATGACCAATTTGGAGCCTTGGAATTGTATACCTTTGTTGTTGTCCATTCCTCCTACAGCATACAGGGTTCCAACAGTAGATTTCCTTGGTTTAGTCCTTGGACTTTGCATTAAAGTTCTTCTTTCAGGCAACAGATGGTACTTCATGGCTTCCAAAATCAGTTTTTGACATTCTAGGTCATCTTTAAATAAAGCATGGTTTTCAAGGTCAGCCAAAATCTGTGAATAATGAATCAGATTTTTTAAATTAATAATGATTTTTGAAGTTAAAAAAAATCAATAATGCAAAGAGTAACAAGGAGATTCCATACCATGCAGTATTGTAATTAAAAACCTGAGTAAATTACACATTTTTCACCAATAAGAAGAGTAGTAACTTTATATATCCATACTTCCTTTAACCATAGATTCACAGATGTTAAAGGGAATTTCAGAAGTCACTTGGGCCGCCCCTCTATTAGTGTTAAGAATAAAAAAAGGATTGTTTATGCTATCCTTTAATAGTATCCAGGTAGGTAAATTAATCAATATTCCTAAGTAATTCACATCCACCAGGACATATTTATTATGTCTCATCTAAGTCTATGCTGGTACCATTCAGAACACGTTTTCTATCCTTAGTGAAAATGTCACTCTCATCATTACAATTCTTTTTTTTTTCATCATTACGATTCTTGATATAATTGAAGATTTTTTCCCCCATTTTTTATGAGGCAATTGGGGTTAAGTGACTTGCCTTGAGTAACACCGGTAGTGAATGTTATGTGTCTGAGCAGATTTGAACTCAGGGACTCCTGACTCTAGGGCTGGTGCTCTTTCCACTGCACCACCTAGCTGTTCCTTGAAGATTCTAAATAAGTCACTTCATAGCCTCCTCAGCTTAGAGACAGAAAGATCTTTGTTAAAATCCAGTCTTTAATTTTCACTATGTAACTATGAAGAAATCATTTAACTTCTCAAAGATCTGGTTTACCTAACTTTAAAAGGGAGACACTAATACCTATGTTTTCTATCTCATAGGGCAGTTTTGACATTCAAATGACATAATGTTTGTAAAATTCTTTGCAAATTTTAAAGTATTATATGGTAGTCATAATTACTTTAGACAAGGTTGAAACATTCAATTGTCAATAGACACCTGGGAAGACCATTCAGATCGCAACTGTTTATTGAATTGGTCTATTATAGCCCATCTTCATAGTGACATTCATCTTTTTCATATTTGTTCCTTTTCCCACCGTATTATATTAGACCAGGGAGTTCTTAAGCTGGGGTCTATAATTTTATATATATGCATATATATATATATATATATATATATATATATATATATATATATATATATATGCATTTCAATATGATTAGTTCCTTTGAAATCTTATGCATTTTATTTTATGCATTTAAAAACAGTATTTTAAGGGTTCTACAAGATTAATCGGAATGCTAAGGGAGGTTCATGACACAATTAGATGCTCATCAACTCATGCATGTATTATCAAACAATAAATATTTAGAGAGGCACTACAGAATTGTGGATACAATTGGCCTCAAAGGTAGGAAGACCTGAATCCAAGACCTAGCTCTGACACATACTGACTGTGCAATCATGAACAAGTTACTTGACCTGTCAACTTTCTAAGACTACAGGTTGCAGAGAAGGTGCCAATCTGCATCAATAGAGGAGTTTCTTCACCTAGGAGTTCCCTATAGCAATGAAATCAAAGATTCAGTACCTACTCCACAACAAATGTTTGCTGACTTCATAGAATCACTCAGTTGGAAAGGATACAAGAGGCCAAGGTGTCTGTGCATCTAGTGATGAAAAGAGTTTGAGGCTACTTTCAGTCTCCCTATTGGTCTGAGGCCAGGAACTGCAATGAGGAAGTAAATTAATCTTTCCTATCTTCCCACACTGCCTATTTAAAGCATCCATGTGTCTAAGGGAGGTCATTTCAAACCAGTGAAATGCAGAGGAATCACTATTGTGTCTTTGTGTAGCACAAGAGGGAAGTGGTACAATCTGTGCTGAGGTTTCATCTTTTGGGACTTCTGGCCAAAGGCTAAAGAGTCTTATCATCTAATAACTCTCTATAGACATCTGAGCTAAAGATACAGGCAAAACAGGAGCTCTGGGGAAAAAAAAATACATGGCAATAGTGCATATATTAATACAATGTGCTAGGGGAGGTTGTAAGATAAAAATGTAGAGGCTCTACGGAATAGTAGAAAAAAGTATAGAAACTGGAATTCGACCTTAGTTTGAGTAGTGGCTTTAAAACTTACTACCTGTGTAAATTGGGAGAAATGATTTAACCTTTACAATCCTTTGGTTCCTAAACTATAAAATAGGAACATTCTTTTTATTAGCTAGTATGTTTATTGTTGGGAAATCATTCTGTAAAGCATAAAGCACTATAAGTACACAAGCTATGTGATATAGAGGCATCATGGTATTTCGGATGCAGTTGGCCTCAAAGCCAGTTAAGACCTGAGTCTAAGACCTACATCTGACAAGTAACTAGACCTGTAGGTTCTCTATTCAAATTAGAAAGTTATTATAATTATTATTATATGTCATAGTCTCCCTTCCTTGGACCTTACAACCTAATTGGGAAGATGAGCATATGTGAATACGAATATAAGCATATATGAAACTAAATAATAATTAATGTTGGGATATTGACAAGTTCAGGGTACAAATCAGTGTGGACTAGAGTAGTCACAAAAAAGATTTCATGGGGGAACTTGAGATATGGGTTGAGATATGAATAGTGGATTGGGTTTGATTAGGAATAAGGGAAGAAGGGCATTTTTAATGGGGAAGGGAACAGAAAAGCATAAAGAGAAACATGTAGATAGGAATATATACATTGGATATTGAGGAGATCAGCTTGGCTAGAGCAGAATGTTTGCATTTTGAAAAGTAGTAAGCAAGATGGCCAGAAAGGTAAGGTGGGATTAGATACTTGTGGGCTTTAAGTGCCAGAGAAGTTTGATTATGTATGTTAGTCATGATTAATGCTTGAATAGGAGAAATTGGTGTGAGAATACAATGACTGTTGGATTTGAATGAAGAGAAGAAAGTAGAAGAAAGAGGAGGGAAAGGTGGAAGGTAAAGGAAGGAAAGAAGGAAGAAGGAAGGAAAGAAAAAAGGAAAGAAGGAAGGAAGTATTTATGAAATGCCTACTTTGTTCTAGGCACCTAATACTATTCCATTTGGTCCTCACAACAATGCTGAAGGTATTTGCTACCATTACCCCCATTTTACAGTTGAGGAAACTGAGGCAGATGATGGTTAAATGATTTGCCCATGGTAACAAATCTAGCAAGTGTCTAAGTATCTGCACTCAGGAGACAAAAAGAGAAGCAGAAAAAAAAGGAAGCAATAGAAATAAATGAAGGGAAAAGACAGAGAAAGAGACAGATAGTTGGGAAAAATATTAAAAGATAGGGAAGAATATAAGGACACACAAATTAGAAGTGACCAAGAAAATGGGAGTGGTGTACGTAGAGTGGAAGAGAAGAAAGAGAAAAAGAGAAGCAAAAAACTTTTTTTATTAACTTATATTGTGAACTTTAGTGTATCTTGCAGTTATCATTTCACCGTAAAAACTAATAATTTGTTATTTTTACCTCTTCATAGTATTTCAACTGCTCTATACTTTAAACCCTAAAGACTTACTAAGCAAGATAGCACTTGGGAATGGAGATATTCTGTACTTTGCAGCTCCTATGCCTACAGAGATACCATCCCTCGTATTCCGTAAAATAATTCTAAGGGTCAACTGTAGACTTCAGGGGAGAGGTTCTTCAAGATAGTAACAGATAAAACCCTCAAAAGCCTTTGAATGCAAAACGACATGATGAAAGTTTTTCTATTAGGAAGATTGATCTGATAGTGATTTATAAAATGAATTACGAAGGGGATGGGAAGGAAATGAGAGCAATTAGGAAACTAATAAAATAAATCTAGAATTTCTTTCTTGGAAACATCTGTAGGAAGGAATTCCTGTGAAGATATAGAGAGAAAGTTGGAAGACATTAGTATCCTTTTATTTCTTTCCCTTGACACTGCCAAGACAAAAGTCAAAAAGAAGTAAAACTATTAGAAATGTTCAAAATAATTTAAAAAAATTAAGTATACTGAAGTACCAACCCAGAAGAAAAATATTTCTATAATTCAAATTTCATAGATGTGAGCAATCCCTCCATCAGTTCAGATTAAGATTCATCTATGTCTTCTTATCTTTTGTGATTCTTTCCCATGTTCTCCCATTGGTTCTCTAAAAAAGATATATCCAACACCCTACAGGCTTTCCTTTAACATTTTGTGGGGAGGAAGACCTCTTTCTTGAATGATTCTGGATCCACTGATAGATTTCAAATTAAAAGGACAAATAAATATTTACAAGTCTGCGATGTTAGCAATATGTGTAATATCTTCACTAATACAGATCATAGTTCTTTTACATCTCATTTTATGTTTTTAGAGAGTTTCTTTGTCCAAAAACCTGATCACCCTGTGACCAGCCTGGTCATGTTCCCTTCTGAGTGAGGCTAGTTTGTTCCTTGAATGACAAGAAGTATTATACCCCTACTTGGGCTGTAATTGAAGCATTTTTTTTAGCTTAGTAGGAGTTGTCATAATTTTTGTTCTGTATGCACATCTTTCAAGAGCATAGGAATCACTTTATAATGAGGCATCATTATAAAATTTCTGAGGCAAGAATTAAAAGAAGCTTAGTCAAAAACACCAGCTCAAAATATGTAGAAAGTAAAAAAAAAAAGAATAAAAGCTAGAATGTTCTTTTAATAAAGTTCATACTATTTATACACAAATGATTAAAAGAAAAAAAGTAAAAAGTTAAAAAAGGAAAAAAATATTCTGAGTTAAAATGAAGAAAGAAGTGAGTTTGATAAAAACAATCTGGAGATGGTGATGAAATTAAATAGCTTGATGATATCTATGGAAAATGACAATAACTGATTTTGTAAAAAGTGGAATATTTTACTTAAGGATAGAATTGACATGAGGAATAGAGGCAGCAGAAAAACAAACAAATAAAGTTACTTAACTAAAAAAAAGTTTGGAGGCAATAAAAATAAAAGTAACATTTCTATGGTACAAAATGAGGAGAAATAATTTAAGAATTATTACGTCCTAAAAGCTGTGAGATCAACATTTCAGGAAGCCGAACAAGAAATTTTCCTCAAAATAT